GGAAGGAAGGTTGGACAATCTACTTCTGTAGCGATACCGCCTCGGAAACTCAAGGACGGGCCTCTATGAGTGGAGTCCAACTCAGCGGCACATAACAACATAGGCTTATCTGTTGTATGGCTGAAAGTTCGGTCATGGGAGTGAGTTCAGTTCCAGGCCAAAAGAGTGGCTAGGCGCTATAGTCTCTTGTCTATAGCTAGTCTGTAGACTTTAGTCCAGTCTCTATCAGACTAATAATCCTCATCTTTTTTATGCTTTTTAGTTTTGTTCTACATTTTTCTCCCAATTATCCAGGATCTCTAATTTTGATCCCTTTCTGAGTGGTTGTCAGTGGTAGCCAGGTGCCATCTAGTCACTTGCCTCCCTTTTAATGAGCAGCCAAATGCTTAACCATTGCACTACCAGGACTCCTCCACTATATGGAGGTATTTTAAGTTATTAATGTAAGATATTATGGCAGTCACTTACTGTTGAAAATGTATGCTAAAATTAACATCTTAATACTAAATCTTTGCAATCATACTCAATAACTTCCATAGAATAATACTTTGAAAGTTTTAAATTAATGTATCAGTGAGTTTGTACATCCTATAAAAGTTTTCATTGAGTGTATAATGTACACTTACAAAACAAAAGAGTGCACAAATCGTAAAGTGTAGTTTGACAAAATTACACAAAGCAAATACCATCCAGCTCATAGCTTGAGAAACAGAGTGTTAACAGCATTGCAGAAAACTACCTTGGAAACCTTTCCAGTTTCTGCCACTATCACAGGGGTAACTATTATCCTGACTTATAACACTATAAGTTATGGTTATAAACACCTGAATTAGTTTTGCTGCTTTTGAATTTATATATATAAATGGAGTTATATCATGTGTACTATTTCCTGTCTGGCTTTTTTTCAATATAAACATTTTAAGTCTTTTTTTTTTTTAATTTTTCCTTCTAGAGAAGATATTTATTTTTTCAATATAAATGTCACTTTCTTCACTAACTCTGGCTATTATCATTTTTAAAACTATTCTTCCCCAACATAATAAAGGAAAATTGTAACTAGTTATTTTATTTAACATTTTTCCCAAATAAG